TATTTTAAGAGAAGGTAGTAAGTTACTAAAATCGTTTATACTTGTGATGAAGGGGGAAGTCATTTCTTTATACAATTTTTTCTTTTTTTTACTATATTCTTGTCTTATCTTTCCTTTCTATTCTCCTATTTTTTCTTTTCTGCACTTTCTATTTTTTTTATTCTTTTTTCTTACTTTGCATTACTTTTTATCTTTGTAATTGTAACTTTTAATTACTATTTTTATTACTATTAAAAATGTTATAGAAAAATAGACAGATAGTGGAAAGAGGGAACAAAGTTGAAGAATCTCATCTCCTTTCACAAAACCAATTCTGAATCATCCCATTCAAACAAAATCTTTTTATAGCACTCTCAGATTTATAAACTAATTCCAGTTCATCACAGTAGAGAAGAATCACTTTCTGAAGTAGAGCTGGGTTTATCTTTACCAACATTCATGACTAAAAGAAACAATAGCTTTTTGGACTGATGATGAAAATAAACATTTATGTAAAAGGGTGGTTGAATTAGCTCAATTTATGGGAAGTTCCATAGTTCAATGGCAGAGCAAATGCTTGACGTGCAAGAAGTCCCATCACTTCCAGTAAGGGTTGAGAAAGAGTGGACACCCTCCTCTTCCCCCATAAATACCTAAACCCCTGAATATACAAACTCAGAGGGAAACAGAGATGAATATAATTTACAAACTGAATTATTATTTTAAAGTTTTTGATGTACAAAATCTGTCCGATTTATGGACTTCCTGTAGGCATCTAACAGGCCTATGTAGAAAACTGGATGGTGAACTACAAATGCCTTTTGAATTAATCCACAGAGTTTTAACATTAATCATGCCATCTGCACTGTATCCTTCTGAGAATTCTATGCCACACAATATGTTTGATGAGAAGGTCAGTCCCTGATGTTTGGAAATGTTTGCATAAAAATTGAGGAGGTTCTTAAGAAAGCAACCTGTCCATTTGGATCCCAACCTTAAAATCTCAATTAACATCTGATTTGTGGAACCAGATTGCTTTAGGACAGTTGCTGGAGTCTAGGGATGAAATTTCCTCCAATAATGTCCACGTTTTACCACCACCAAACACCTAGATGCTGGAAAAGGGTTATAGAAAATACAGTACATGGAAAACTCATATTTTACAGGAGATTATAAATAAATGGTATGGCCTGGTTATTATAGCCATGGCCCTGAGCAGAAGCAACAACTCTAGTAAATAAGAGAATAAACTAACTGGATCTGATGCAAGCATGGCGGTATGAACTTTGACTGTTTGACCCCAAAGCAGCTTGTATTGCCAAAAAGTCTTCACAAGCAATCCAAACGGGAACCTATAGACCAAGGATGGACAACTATGTCACCCCCCACAATTAGTTTTTCGTTTTTTAAAGAAACTTGTTATTGGTGTAGATTCATTGTATCTGAGCTACAAAATCCATACAACCACCAGATGGCAGCAGAGTGTCAAGATTTTCTGTACTCTTTGTTGCCATCTAGCTATTCTCTGCAAATTTGCAGCCCTGATATCACAGACCTAAGCAAATGGTACTGAGGGAAAAAGAACAAGAATATCAAGGTTTAGACTAAGGTGGCGATATTTCCATAAAAAGGAGCAAGAGTTTCATGTCAAAGTCAGAAACAGGAAGAAGCCAAGACAGCAAGCTAGCAAGTACACACCTTTTTCATGGTCTATGCACTGATTGAGGCCAGCTAGTACCAGGTCAGCTGGAAGCAAAGGATTTTAAATAATACAAAAGGTAATGAATTATGCA